AAACGGGTCGGAATTTTCATTAACTTTGATTTTTATTACTATTCAATAATAATTTTCAATGAAAATTGGTGACAAGTCTCCAAGACTTCAACAACCAAGTTGATTTGTATTTAATTGACCAAGGTTTGGAAGGGTGTTCAACTACTTTTGCCTCTATTAGTAAAGAATCAAGCATATGATATGGACGTTATGCTACGGGGTGCAGAAAATAACTTGATTTTTTTACTAATAACAATAAAGGGAGTTATGCTACGGTTATAAGTTCAATAATAAATTTTAGAAGTAAGGAAACGCGTGGCACAACATTATTAGACAATTTAAAAAAAATCCACACATCAGCTGACAACTCAACACTTGTCAAAACACTATTTCCAATCCATGTTTGTATAACATTATTGCAAAAAAAGGGGTGTGATATGGACGTTAACCTAGGGGTGTAGAAGGAGTTGGACAAGCTAGTGGGATCTGGCTTTTGATAGCTCGTCTCTAGTTTTTATTTTTTGTTTTTCAAAAAAATTATTATTATTATTATTATTATTATTATTATTATTATTATTATTATTATTATTATTATTATTATTATATGTAACATTCCAAAATTTTATAGTAAATATTTTTAATATTTTAGGGAGTTTGTTTTTAATTTTAGGAACTTAATTTAATGATAGAATAAATATTATTAGGGATTGTAATTAAAAATAATATTATGGGGATCGAAAGTGCAATTTTATAATTGAATATTTGCCCAAGGGTTAAAGGTGCAATTTTATAAATAAAGAAATAATTGTATATGTGGTCCAAGGTTTAAAAATATAATATTAAAATCCATTCAAATGATTGCAATTATCATAGGAGTTATATGTGCAATTTCATAAATTGCACATTTAATCCCTACTATCAACTATAAATAGAGGATAGCTGTGAAATGTGACATACCATTCTTCTCATCGTTTTCACTCCTTAAAGTATGTCTTTTCATTTAGTTAATTATTTATTTAGATAATTTTTTTAAGTACTTAATTGGTTTATAAATATGAATTAAAATTTGTTGCTTTATGGTTCATTAATAATTGATAAAAGATAATATTATAGTTAAATTTAATTAATAAAATCAGGGAAGAGAAATTATAATTTTTCCATTTCAAAATATTAACTTTGAAAATTTTAAAACTTATAAACTAGCTGAAGATATATTAAGTTTTAGTTTACTTAGCTTACATTATTAAGGATTGTATAAAATAATTTTGGGGGAAAATATAGTGAGCAATGAAGAAGTGAGTAGGGATAGAAAATAACTTGGTATAATAATTGTTAATATCATCATGATAATGGATATGAAAATTGGGCCACTACTATATTTATATAAGTGGTAAATTCAAATGGGAAGAAAGATAACAATTAGTACTTGAAGTTTAAACTTAAATTACTTTGATCTAGTTATGTGATAAGATGTGAAGAAAAATTGTTATAATGCATAGTAACAATGGTGAGATATGATGGAAATGTGGTAAAGAAGAATATGGATGGAATAAGAAAATTTACTAATGAGTATGGATTTAAATATATACTTGTGTTAATTGAAATGAAAAGTGGATTAAGCATGAAATGGAAAAGTAATATGGTAGTGTATTCGTTAACTTAAATTGTACATATAATAATTTTATGGAATTTAGTTAATGATGATAACGAGAATTTTATTTATATTATTAATGTTATTATTATTACTATTAGATGACAATAAACTAGTATCATTATTTTTACTAGGGGTATGCTATTAAATAATCTACAAGTTTAGTCTAGATGTGATAATTGGGAAATAATAAGATAAGATATGATTAATGTAGAGATTATTGTGTTAATGCAGATTTTAATCAAGGAAATCACGAAAAAAGTAAATATTGATGTTTTTCCAACTACAGTGCAAAATACATTAATATGTGTTTATATGTAGTTGTTTCTTTTGCTATGTGACGTGGTAGTATGTTACATGTGCATTGAGTTTATTTAGAAAACGTAGGAATAATTACGTTTTCAAGATCATGCATATTTGTGTTGTCATACTGATTGAGTTGAAGTTGAAAATTTTGAATGTGAATCCCATTATAGATGTATCGTACTATTGTGTTTGAATCACTGTACCGCTTTGAAGCTCCTGAAGTTCATTAAGGGTGGCCAAGGGTAGGGTATTGGGAGTTCGACACCTGTATACAGATAGTGCCAAGAGGTCCCTTGGTCGCCTTGGGACTGCGGATAGACACTGTTACGCCTAATTTTACGAGCCTCGATACCGAAGTGTCATCTCACCACCGAAGCCGAGATCAAATAGATCACTCCGACCTTCCCGAAGCTTCTCCGAAGTGATACATCGATTCCTACTACTGATCTGCCGAAGTATCCCACCTCCGAGATCGGGTTCAGGTGGACCCCGATTAGAAGATCCGTCGCCAATTTAAGATTTGTTCTGCATATAAGGTTTAAATTGATTTGACGTCCCCATGAGGCTATTTGATGTGACTTATCAACTTTATGTCAATTCAACTCGGGGAAACAAACTGTCCGCCCACTCTACAAGCGCGGCTGATTGACGCCTATGAGCAGACACTTCATACCATCAGATGTATACACGTGTTCCACATGCCACGGTTCATACCACCTATAAATACCCAAAGTTTGGTAAGAGGCAAGGGTAATGAAACTCTCAATAGATAGCATTCCATAACAAGTTTATATATTCTCCTCCCCCTTTATTGATTGATTTGTGTAGCCCCAGGGCATTGTTCCGACCACCCAAACCTGACTTGACCGTCGGAGTGTATACGGTCGCCACCCCCGTCGGTTCCGGCGGTGTGCGCCTGACTATTTGTTCATTTCGCAGGGAGGAATACGTGGAGTAGCTATAAGTTGGCCACGTGGAGGAGCCATTTTTGGAGGTCAACAGTTTGGCGCCGTCTGTGGGAAACGTCCTTCCCTATTTAAAGTTTTACATTCCCCATCGGAGAAGACATCGGAAAACCGGCGACTGACCTTGAAAAGGGGGCATTCTTGAAAAAGAACAAAAGTCGAATTACAATCCAAGTTCTTACTATCCTTGAAAGAAGAGGTAGGAGGAGCTACAGCTGTGAAGACAACCCCATTAGAGAGGCCTCTGAAGAAGAGGTACTCCATAACAATGTTACTCATCAGAGACCGCATCACCGGCGTTGACGAGGCGAAAGAACAGCCATACTCACTGAAGGAATGGCCCAGATAGCTGCGGGCATGAGAGACATAGCAGCTCAGAATATGGCGATGCGGGAACTTCTCATGCAAGCCCAGGGACACCAGATGACCCAAGGATCGTATCCGGTACAGGAAATCCCTTTGTCTCATTCTCGAGGCCACATGAGCCGGCACACAGAACGTCCTCTCGAAAGAGAGGGTAACACCGAAGCGACATCTTATGTGCAGGAGAGCCACCCATCAGAACCACTCTTGGGGACAACTTTCCCCAAGAACACGATGACCAGAGGTCAGTAAGCGTCTTCGACCGGATAGAGAACGATCCTAGCAATAGGGTCTGCCCTTCAAGAGGGTCGGTCCGGTCAGACCACGAAGAAGAGTATGTTCCGCCCCCTCCTCCTAGAAATAGGAGGGAGAGGAGAAACTTAGTCGATTAGGGAAGCCGGGGGAAAGCACCTCCTCCACCCCAAGACATCCAAGATGATCAAGGATCAGAGGAGCCCTGCCGATCTTATGCGATTGACGACGATGACGATAACCTCCCTTTCTCAAGGGAAATCCGGAGCTTCCCAATGCCAACTAATTTCATGCCCCCTAAGATCCCCAAGTATGAGGGAAAAGGGGATCCGGAGAAGCACCTCACAAAGTATATGACGCAAATGAGTCTTAGGGGAGCCTCACCTGCTCTAAAGTGCAGAGCCTTCCATTTAACACTAGGCGGAGCCGCCGAGGTGTGGTATAGCAGGCTTCCTCCCCTAAGCATCAGAAGTTGGCCGGACTTGAAGAAAGCATTCTTGAACCAGTACCTCTCACGCAGGGAAGGAGAGGCGCCAATCCAACGCCTGCAAGACATGAGGCAGGCCCCTGGAGAGACGCTGAAAAGCTATCTCGCCAGGTTTACAGACGAGATTACTTACTGCGAACAGGTCACTAACAGGGAAGCCCTTTCAGCCCTGAAAGGCGGTCTCAACA